TAGACCGGGAGATATTAGACTGAAGTTCGACGACGTCTTTCTCGTTTATGCCTCTGAGAGTACTGAAAGGTAACCGAGAGACAAGTACAATAAACTAAATTTAAAAGATGGGCTGCGGGACACCTTCGTGAAAATTCAATTTTCCTTTTCAAAAAAATAATGTGTACAGCGACGTATTTCTCACTTATGCCATGTTCGTAAGTTGAAGAGAAGTATCGATTTTATCACAAAATTTTTTTGGCATAAGTGTCGCAAGGGACCTAAAAATGGAAAACTTTGTAAGAAAATGTGAAAAACATCTTTATTTGTCTACCAATTTCTCATTAATGCCAATTAGAAATATGACATTATTATATTCGAAAAGCTCATAAAAAAACATTGGCATAAGTCCTACTAACGACTAAAGAAAATAGGGCTTTGGAAAAGGTGCGGATAATTTTTTGTTTTTGTCAACGTTTTTCTCCTGAATAAATTAAAGCTTGTTTCAAAGAAAAAAGTGAAAGTATTCATTTTTTTTTAAGGGCATAAGTCCCTGGTGAGGACTATGCTAAAAATTTTTTGAAAAGTTGTAGGAAAATTCATGAAAATTGTTACGTCTCTCGCTTATGCTATTTTGCATGCACGTAGGAAACTACATTATAAAGTCATATAAATGTAGGCATAAGTCCACATTGGATTTTCCTGTAAATTATTTTGAATTTTAATGAGTCGGGTCGACAAAGTAGAGAAATAATAGAAAATTGCCACAATTTTCTCGTTTATGCCGTTTCATACATGAGTAGAAAATATTATTAAAAGCAATTTTCAAGAGTGGCATGAATGCCGCAAGGTCCGTCGTATGTAAAAATTTTTAAAAAGTTTATTTCATCGCCTGCGCAATTTTCGAAATACTTATACTTACTTGCATTTAGCGTATTTTTAATTTTATAAATATAAGTAATTCATGTACATATTTAATGAAAGTTAATAATAAACTATTTCGGCATAAGTCCCCACATATTAGAAATGATTTTTAATAATTTTTTGTCATGATCAGAAAAAGAAAAATTATATAATATTGCCACGAATTCCTCGTTTGTGCCTATTTGTAAATGAATATATTTAAATTTTAAAAATCAAACTATTATATAATTTGAATTAACCACAAGGATGATCTACTTGAATTGAGCCAACTAAGGTAGAAGAAGAAGAAGAAGAAGAAGGGGAAAGAATTAAGCTAGAATACATATACAGGTTTGGAAAGTCCCCATGGTACATCGGTCGTTACGTGAGAGCGATAAAGTAAGTCATAGAAATCCGTGCGATAGAGAAGGATGGCTATAATGAATGTGTCTCATAGTCACCGCCCATTTCGCCCTTCCACAAATAAGATCCACTTCCACTTGTAATTCAGCGACCGATGGTCATCTTTGTTTTCATCGTTTGTCTTTTCTTTAATAGATGTTGCTACTTATACAATTCCGACTCCGGTATTCCAATATGTCATCATCTTCATCTAGTGGTTGGTCCTTTAAAAGTCCCATAGCACTGCGGCCTAATTAGGCCTATTGTGCTTCCCACTACTAGTCCTATTCAACAAGTAGATTTGTCCTTTTTACAAAGTCCAAAAGCTTCCTTTCTGACACTTCTCTCAGTTCCTTGGGTTCCAAATAGGGTCTCCCAAGGAGCGCCATTCTGCTACATGCAAATCCCGGGCACTCGCCCAGGATATGCAGAGAAGTTTCATCCGCCGATTCACTGCCTCAGCAGACCATTAATATGTTAATACAATCCATTAACACAGGGCAGCACAATTTCTCTAAGGTGAGAAAGAGTGATGCCAGATCTACAGATTTTTTTGGAATTGGGGAAATAGGGAATTTTGCTTTATTTCTTGGGATTTTTAAGTCATTTTAAAAAGTATACTTAAATAACAACTAAATGAACTTTAAATGCAGCTGAGCACTATACTCCATTTGAATAACTTCTCAGTAGGGGAAACAAGGTCACTAGATTTACAAACAGAGGTATCTACTTGCTACTGTAAAAAGTTTTCTTTGTTACGCGCTTTTTGTTGGTGGCCACTATGTGGCGTGTATGAATTATGATTTCGGAATAATCCCAGAATCCCAGATTTCTGTCAAGCAAGGGTATACAGACAGACTAGCTCTGTGGATTAGCCTTACTACCAGCTTTATTATAAGTTAATAAGAATTATCGTAATAAAAAATAACGTGTCGAAAAATCAACCTAAACCCAATACAAAGCTTTCTCTTTTTCATGTAATTTTTTTATTTTAAATTTTTTATTCTCTATTATAATTAGAAATATTCATGTTTTATATAGATATCTTCTCTGACACTTGCATTATTTATGATACATTTTTTAAATTAATTTAAGTATATCGAAAATTGCGCAGGCGAAGAAATAACCACAATTTGTAATTTTTGACTTTTTAAAAAATTTTACATATCTTGTAGCATTCATGCCACTCTTGAAAGTGGCTTTTAATAATATTTTCTACTCTTGTACGAAACGGCATAAACAAAAAATTGTGGCATTTTTCTATTATTTTTTTACTTTATCGATCTGACTCATATTAAAATTCAAATTAATTTACAACATGAAAATCCAATGTGGACTTATGCCTACATTTATATGACTTTATAATGTAGTTTCCTACGTGCATGCAAAATGGCATAAGCGAGAAAGACCTACAAATTTTCATGAATTTTTCTACAGCTTTGGGACTTATGCCTTCATATTGGATCCATAGAGGAGTTATGCCTACTTGGCACAGCACACTATTTATAATATCATACATTTTCAATGGCATAAATGAGAAAGTTATAGAATGAAAATAAAAATTTTCTGCAGCTTTTCCAAAGCTCTATTTTCTTTGGTCCTTAGTAGGACTTCTGCCAATGTTTTTTATGAGCTTTTCGAATATAATAATGTCATATTTCTAATTGGCATTAATGAGAAATTGGTAGACAAATAAAGATGTTTTTCACATTTTCTTACAAAGTTTTCCATTTTTAGGTCCCTTGCGACACTTAGCCAAAATAAGTGAGAAATACGTCGCTGTACACATTATTTTTTTGAAAAGGAAAATTGAATTTTCACAAAGGTGTACCGTAGCCCATCTTTTAAATTTAGTTTATTGTACTTGTCTCTCAGTTACCTTTCAGTACTCTCATAAAATAAGGCATAAACGAGAAAGACATCGCCGAACTTCAGTCTAATATCTGTCAGTCTATAATGATGATAATTACATATTGTTTGTATTGAAAATATGTCGATGCTACTTTAATTCAATAGTTACAAAAAAAACTTGTATTGTCGCACAAGAAAATGAGCATATTTTAGATATTTCTTTAAAATGACTTATTTCATTTATAATATCAAAACGTGGCATCTATATAAGTATCAATTTTTTGTGTGCCAAATTCAATTAAGGCTGAGGTTTTAGAGACAACAAATCACACGTTTAGTAATACAATGATAGAACACGAAAATCCATCTGAACTATAAAAATGTTGAAATAGGATTCCTTTAATTTTTTGCAGTGAAAGATCACAGAAAATAGAGGCACCCATTTAAAGATCGGTATGTACCTTTCCTATTTTGTCAAGAATTTTGAATAAAATATTCAATAATTATGATTAATTCATGTGCTAATAGTTTCATAAAAGTACTTTGTGGGGTGTGATTGTTTAGAGTAACGTACACGATTTTCTGTATATTCAATAGGCGTGTAAACATCAGGAAATGTAATGAGCAACATATACTTTTTTTTCCTTATTCTGAATGTATTGTCAGCCTGTAAACTGTCTTATACCCTAGAGAAAACTTGTATAACTGGTACAGTGAAGAAATATTGTTTCTAACTTACATTTTCTAAAACTTGTCAAAAGATTGCTATAAATTCAAATTCACTAAAAATTACGCATAAAAATGCCCCCCTTAAACAAGACCTGTCAGATATGTGGAAAAAAAAATCTAAATTTTTGCAGCTTAATCTGATGTCTTATTTTAATTCTAAAAATCTGTTACAGCTCATGGAAAGTTGGGTCGCCTTATATAAAACATATTAGGTACAAATATTTCTATTATAAGTTATTTTATTTACCATTTAAAATTTGATTTAAAATGATGAAACTTGGGAAGTTCTAATGATACAAAAAAAAATATTTCTCATACCTTTTGAATACAGCAACACATTTTTTAATTCATAAATGTACTGCTGCTATCAAAGAGAATGTAGGTTTTACATATTTATACTTACTAAAATATGGGCTATATTTTCATTGTTATAAACTCCTGTTCTTGTTTTAACTGTCAAAGGTATCGTTAACATATCACTCAAGTTTCGAACACAGGACTCAAGCACCTTTTGCCTACGTAATAAACCACTTCCTCCTCCTTGTTTATATACCAGTTCTATAGGACAACCTAAGTTTAAATCTATAAAATCTACATTTATTTCATTTTGCAAAAGTTGACCACATTTTGTAAGTAAATAGGGGTTGTTAGCGCATAATTGTACTCCAAATATGTTTTCTGTGTGGTGACGTTTTACAAGAGCCCATTCCTGTGGAGCACCCTGTAGTAATGATGAGCACATCACCATTTCGCCACAAGTGACATCAGCTCCAAATTCTTTACATATACGTCTAAATGGAAGATTTCCCACTGTGGTTAATGGACTTAAATATAATTTATTTCTCCAATCAATTGACTTCTTTTCTCGTTTTTGCAGTTTTATGATATCTTCGTCACTAACTGGTCCAGTTCTTGCATCATTTTTATTTGTGTTTGTAGTTTCCCTTGTTTCATTTGTGTCATTCTACAATTTATTTACATTTTAGATTGCCTGGGTATTTTATTTTATGGGTATTTATTTTAAATAAGGAATCCTAATAAATGCAATAAATAAGTTTACAAGTCGCAACATTTAAGATATAAGTGAGAACACAAACTATTATTTTTATATTAGACTGATGTCATAATTTTAATTAGAAATTGTCTGTTTTCGATTAAGACGATTAAACGAAATTTGCAAGGATTGGTTGAATGGAAAAATATTCAGTCCATAACCAACTTATTCGTTTATCTGATAATTGACCCCATCGGGGTTGGATAAGAGGTTATACTATACAGGGTGATTCATTAATAATTGTATATACACTAACTGGATAAACCTAGGCTGAAAATATGAAGAAATATGAGAATTGACACATAACGCTTAGATAAAATATGACTCCTTACAGAGTTACAGGGTGCTTTATTTAAAAAATTTTACATGATTTTTGCCCATTACTTTAACCCTGTTTAATATAAAAAGTTTAGATACTTTAGAACATATTAAAAAATGCTATAAAATCATTCATAGCTACTACCAGAGGCATACGACAGGGGTAGAGGAGCAGTTTCCCATTCCTAACTTCTGCGCCACTGACAGCATTATTATTTTGGTACCTACTATTCCTTCATAGCGGTAGTCATTATTTTTCGAGATTTTTAAAGGTAAACATAGGGCTGCACAATCATTTTTATTTTATTATGTAATTCGTTTGTCATATTATTATTATTCAAGTCGGTGTCTTCCGTCATGGAATTGCATTACATTAGTTAAATTAGGTTTTACAGTTGTTGTTTTAGTAATGGGTAAAAATCATTTTAAAATTTTTTAAATAAAACACCATGTAACTTCGTAAGGAGCCATATTTTATCTAAGCATTGTGTCAATTCTTCATATTTTCGGCCAAGGATTATTCAGTTAGAGTATGTACAATTATTAATAAATCACCCTTTTTATATATTAATTATTGTTAAAAAAACCTACATTTTTAAATACGGTAATGCACGATTTGAGCTTAAAAGGTAAGATGTTGACATTTCTACAAGGTGTTAACACTTTTCTTTTTCTGCAATTTGTATTCAAAGTGAGAAGGCTAATAGATCAGAAAGTAAAGCCTGCAAAATTCGATGAAATTTTGTTTTTGAAATCGTTAAACCCATTTAAACAAAATTAAACAAATATTAATAATTATCCATCTAAAATTAACATTAAATTTAAAGAAAGTTTTTTGCGAGGTTTTTTGACATAATCTCATACTCTTAAAATACATAGAAATATTAAAATTTTATCCATATTTGAAGAAATTAATAATGCCAATGGATAATTCTAGTCCTTTAATACAAACCTTTTCTTTCCTTAATTTATCATTATATCTAACAAGTGCTTCCGATAAATCAAAGTTATAATGTCTTTTCCTTAAGGATGTCTGTAGATCATATTGTAACTGATTTTGTACATGAAGACCTTCGCTTTCAAATGCTTGTATTCTTTTTTCGTTAATTTTATTTTTTCCTTCGGGTGTAATATGTTCATTTCCAAACCTACAAGCCAAACCTCGACTACATTTACCAGAAATTTGGTAGTTATAACAAATGTCACCTATGTCTTTGGGTTTGTTTTTTAAATATTCTTGAATATCATGTAGAAATTGACAATTATTTTTATTACATTTAGGAATTTCCTCTCCTTCTGCAACGAGGACTAAAGAATTACACAGTTCTTGTTCTCTTTTAATATAGCATGTTGGACCTCTAGACTTATTTTGTCCTTTTAATTTTTTCATGGCCCATTTTGAAACTTTTTGTTTTTTTCTTGCTGGTGTATCATCACTTTCATTTAAATTTATTTCGGGATTATTTGTAGTAAGTTCATGTTTGTCTTTATCAGAAACGCACTCAAGTTGTATTTTTCTTTCCTGCTCGGGTAAAATGTACCTGAAATCAATTATATATTACATAGAAATTTTTGTGTATTTGATGATTGTACTTTGGTTTTATTTTACATATTCCAATCTCAGACATATTTAATAAAGATTAGTTTATTCCAGAACAAAATGGTCTTAAAACTTATGCGTTGATTAACACCACAAAGTTATGCATTTAAATTATGATTAACGACTAATGTTATAAGATATTATATTTTTTTAATTCTGGGTTATATACGTTCAACCACAAAACATAATACAAGAAGGTCGTTTTCATAATACCAAAATCGAAACACCACTGACATTAAATGACAACAACTGGCTCCCTCACTGTGTCTGGCCCAGGCACATACTTCTATACATATACATTTTACATTGAATGACCTTGTTCCCAAAAAGAGGGGATAAAAAGTGTACATGTTGCACTTTGTCAATTTTGCGCAAGCCCGAAAATTTAGCGGATTATTTCAAATGAAATTTAATAACTGATGTAGTATTAACAGAGCAAAATTACCAATTATTATTTTGTATATCTAATTATACAACTTGTTAATTGTAATTTATGAGAATGTTAGATAGTGAATGTAAAATAAAATGGGTACAATAAAACGGAATCCAAAAGAGAGTACAAGTGTGTTATTTATATAAAATAGTAAACATTTTTTGAAATTTAAAATCGAGACATCTTCACAAAAATTCATATAAAAATACTCATTATGCACAAATATACATAAAAATAATAACGAGTTATCTACCTTAACTAACACATATACAAATAATAATAAAAATAAATCATATCAATCATATTAAAGTGTTTCGTGATTCACTGTACCAGATTCAATTTATTTTTTAATATATGCTAAATATCAAGTCTTATTTTATTAAATATACAATGCAAACCTAGTCAAGATCTTAGAACACATTGAAACAGTACCGATTTTAGATATAAATTGTCCCTAGGTATTATTTTTCAAATAAAATAGCTGATCCAGTTTGTGATCCAAACACAAGTAGGTACATTAAGTATCGTTTCTTTATTTGAACATGATCACGTAAAAACCATGTTTGACCTTTCGCCGTATGTAGAAG